ATATTTTTCAATGCTCTACAACATATTTAAGGCTCATTAAAATCGGTGAGGGACACTTCCAACCGTTTCCTTGTTAGTGCAATTTTTTGATTTTACTTTTTGATGCTAATATTTTAATTTTTTTCTAGTATTAGTAATAAAAATATAATATAATTTATGAATATAATTTTTGAGAAATCATTTTTGATGGTGATTAATTTTTGCAAAGAATTGTTTTGGTTATAAACATAATTTTTGAGAAGATAATATTTTTGATTACGACTTTTTATAAAAAAACTATTGCTAGCAAAAGATATAAGTTAGCGCTTTTTTTTACATCAGTGATGTCTTTTTTAGTGGGATTAAAATTATTAATTTTTGAGATCTTGATCTTTTTGGGATACGTATATCCTGCATATACATATTATAATTTTTAAATTTGCAAAGGGCGCTCCATTCAATTTTTGTCAAGAGAGCCCCAACGTTGCGTATAGTTACACCAATAAACAAAGATGACAAAACACTCGAAAATACAAGACTGACAGAAGGAAGCACGGTTATTCTCTTTTGAATTTTAGGACGATGTTTATCAGGAAACTTACTTTCACACTTAATGTACATATTTTATCAGACTGTTTAGAATTAAAGTTCTAAATTGCGTTTCACTATTAGGTGTATGACTTATATTAATGTGAAAGTAAGTTTCCTGATAAACATCGTCCTAAGATTTTAGGACGATGTTTATCAGGAAACTTACTTTCACACTTAATGTGCATATTTTATGAGACTGTTTAGAATTAAAGTTCTAAATTGCGTTTCACTTTTAGGTATGACTTATATTAATGCGATATGTTATATATATATATATATATATGTACGTATGTAGATATATACACAGGGTGAGCCATTTTAATCAACGCACGTAAATATCTCGTATAGTAAGCAAGATGGACATTTTTTTCGAACAAAAGTTTTTTGACTATGAAGGGAACATAAAATGGTGTTATTAATTTGACCTTGTATAATCATTTAAAGGTCACGTGAAGGTCACTTTCAATTTCTTAAATGGAACCTGCTATTTTTTATTACATATATTCTTATATAAGAGTTTTAACAAGGCTCTGTAATATAAATATAATTTAACGTATAAGACGGGCAACAAGAGCCAAATCGCGGATGACAATCGAAAAATTATTTAGTTTCGTTAGAACAACGCATTGTCATCCGCGATTTGGCTCTTGTTGCCCGTCTTATACGTTAAATTTATATTCTTATAGCTTATCTAAAGAGCTTTCCAAAATCCTTACATATATATATATATATATATATATATATATATATATACAGGGTGTCCGGTAAGAGTTGCCTCAACCGTCGTGTGCAGGTAGAGTAAGTTAAACCGAATAGGAAAGTCCTCTACCGTTTTGCAATTTTCGCAATAATTATTGAGTTATTAAATAAAAAAGATCGGCCAATCCACGCGAATAGAAGCGCGCGACGAGAAGAGACGTCTTACTGTAACACGATACACGGCGCGCCGCACAGCGGAAGGAGGAGCGAACGATGACTGTCTACGAATTGTATTCGAGAAATCTTCGTGTATCGTGTTACAGTAAGACCTCTTTTCTCGTCGCGCGCTTCTATTTGCGTGGATTAGCCGATCTTTTTTATTTAATAACTCAATAATTATTGCGAAAATCGCAAAACGGTAGAGAATTTTCCTATTCGGTTTAACTTACTCTACCTGCACACGACGGTTGAGGCAACTCTTACCGGACACCCTGTATATATTGTATATATATATTGTGACGTAGTCGTCCCGACGCCTGTCACTCACCTACGCGGGGCCGTAAAACCGAGCGGCCGCGTCAAGAGAGCGAGAGAGAGAGCGCGCGAGAGAGAGCGAACGCGAACCCCGAGAAACTTAGCGGCGCGAAAGAATATTGTTATATTAACGTGTTTTATTTTATTTTTTTTTATGAATGTCGGGAGTCTTGCCGAGAGGAATTGTTTAATCAGGAAAGATTAACAAGGGATCGAAAACACCACGCACGGAACACGTGGCCCTAAGAGAAGTCAGCACAACGGCCGCGGGGAGAGAAAGCCGCAGGGGCGCGCCCACCAGCAGGCGCCAAGAAGGGCCCCAAAGACCCGCGGATAATCTCCGCACTCCCGCTCCCTCTCCGCCAGGACCCCGTCGGTCGACGTGGAATAAGGAGGCCGTCGTTCCAGACTGCGAAAGTCTAGAAATAACGTGCCTCCTCAACGAGATTTGTATATTAGATTTGTTGTCGCGAGAAGTACCGAAAGTACCCCACACATTTCGTTATTGTCAAGCGAGTCGGGAAAATTGCGGAAATCCCTAATTGGCTGTCGCGAATCCTACCCCCGACTCGCCGAATTCGCCCGGCTGCTAATAGCGAGTCGGCAGACCCAGCAGATTGGCGCAACCGCTGGCCCAGGAAAGGCGAGTAATTGAGAGAGAAAGAAAAAGACAAGTCAAACGAAAGCCGTTTTGAGAGAGATAGAGGCCCGAGGACAAAAGAGGAATCTCTTCCGGTAAGGCTACCGGAATTCCCGATTCAGCGATTTTCGGATCTATATTTTTCTCTTGCATTCATTTATTTATTTTCCGTAGGGGGGTTAAAGGGGTATTGAAATTAAATCTCAAATATGAGATTATTTCATATTTTAAAAAATCTTGGCCGTGTCCAAGTAAAATTTGGTGCCTTGTGCACCGGTATTTAATTCTAACGGAAAATTATTTAGTTTCGTTAGGATAACGCATTGTCATCCGCGATTTGGCTCTTGTTGCCCGTCTTATACGTTAAATTGATATTAACATTCTTTGTTTAAATTAAATATTGTCACTTCAATATACAGTAAATTAATATGATTATACATTTATTAAATTTAATAAGACCAATCAATTGATGTAATTAAAGAAAACACATAATTGCTTAAAAAAATATGTTGTAAATTACATTTTATGCCGCCATTATGTATCATAATTTTTAGCACACAGCATTTGAAAGATTATATTTTTAGTAAATTTTACACCTTCAAAAAACTTTTAAATTGTAATCTGTTCTGAGCAAGGAAGTAACTCGGTTGACGTGGAATGATTCATATATATATTTATACATATATTTGATTATATATAAATATACATATATGTACACGTTATCGTGTCATGATGTACAATTAACTTTAATGGCTGACAACATTCTCATAATAACGTATATAAAATTATACATTAGATTTTATATATAAAATATCTTTTAAAATATTAATTAAACTTTATGAGATCAATAAATACAACTAAGGAAGGCCTTAAGAGCCATACACGGATGTTTCTGCTATATGCTAATGAAAATAGGTTTTTTGATGGAAATAAACAAATGTGCATAAGGCACCTGTTATTCTTGGTGTACTATCGAGACTTGATAATAAGAAACAATCTTTTATTTAATATTTAATGTCTTTAAATCCCCTCCCTCAAGAAATAAATAAAGAAATAAACGTGTTTATTATATTTATATTTATATTTTATTTTATGAGAAATGTTATAGTGACATTTAAAAAATATAAAGCAATATTTAGTAATCTTTAATTCCTTTATTTATTGCTATGCGACAGACAATACGCGCTTATTTATTTCGTATTTTTGTCATAAGAATTATATAAAGTTAAGTGGTTATTATACATGTATTAATATAATTGCATGGTCTGTTTTATAGTTAAATTATATATTTATAGTTGCATTAAAGTTTATCTTTTTCTCCTTCCAATTTTTCAAAGATTGATTGTGAGATACAGTATTGAAAAAAATGTTCATCTATTCAACTATTGATGAAAAAATTGATAGAAAATTATTAAAAAATAGTTAAATAAAGCTCGATTAAAAAGTCAAGTTATCGTCCGATCACTGAAGTTAATCAATTCTTGAACATGATCAATATTTAGATGAGTGACCGCTTGGGAGCATTATTTTGTATAATAATATATAATTATATATATTTATGTTATGTTCGTTAATAGTTTTAAACCAGCAGGGGATTCAATAATTACGCCGGTATTGTTATCTAATACTAACGTGGCTATATTTCAAAGATCTAAGTCTACGCACACATGCTTCCTGATCCAAGCCGATAAACGGAATGCTCCGATCAACACACGCCCGCAAGTTACTTGCTTGAGCGCCCCATATCGCAACCTAAACATGGCGCTCTTATACTTGGCGCGTCTTATGAATCCGAATACATAACAGCTCTTCCCTTTTTTTACAGAAGTTCCTTAATTCTACATATAAAAGAAAACAATTTAATAACTCAAACGCAACGCATACATATTTTTTTTTTTGTGAAAATAGAAAATTTGAGTACCGCTCCGGTTCCCTTCTATTTCGTTTGGGACGTTCGTTTCGAACTTGTTCCCCCACGCGCTTATCAGTTGCCTCAATAGGCAATGCTATTTGTTCGCCTGTATTCTTCTCTGTCCCTTCCTCAGGTGAGATGTGGACGTTGCTACTTATTGATTCATCGTTTGTCCCTGTATCCGGTCTCTCTCTACTCGACTTAATTTCTGACTTATCTAACTCGGAATTTGAATAGTTAAATCTATCCATCGCCTCTTGCGATTTATTATTCTCAGTGTTCTGTTCGTTCAGACGTAATTGATTTACATGTCTTTTCCAGATTTTTCCATTCTCTAATCTTATTAAATAATGTAACTTTCCTAATTTCCTGTAAACTATACCAAAACGCCATTTTGATTTTTTATCTAAGTATTCACGTGCTGCGATTTTATTTCCCACTTGAAAATTTCTTGTTTCATTACTCCTTACTGATTTTTTTTTTATTTCAATTTCTTTTGGAGACAATAAATCCAACCGATTTCGCAATTTTCGTCCGAACATGATTTCGGCGGGTGATTGTTTTAACTCCGGAAATGGAGTAATACGGTAATGAAACAAAAACTTTTGAACGCTGCATTTTACATTTTCTTTTTCTAAATTTGTTTTACGCAACCATTGTTTCAATGTTTGTACGAATCTTTCCGCTGCACCATTGGTAGCCGGGTAATAAGGAGCTGTCAATCTATGGATAATCCCATTTGCTTTGATAAAATTTTGAAACTCTTGTGATATAAATGTTCTACCATTATCTGTTACTAGCATTCGTGGAATACCGAATCTAGCAAAAATTTCACGACATTTTTTAATAGTACTTGAAGCAGTAATATTATTTATTACATAAACTTCAGGCCATTTAGTATGCGCATCTACGCAAACTAGAAAATTATAACCTGCAAATAGTCCTGCAAAATCCATATGGATTCTTTGGAACGCTTCCTCAGTAGGCTCCCAATGATGCAATGGCGCAGGCTTCGGATTATTTTGAACGCGACTACATTCCTTACAACTACGAACAGTTTTTTCAATTTCTAAATCTATTCCTTGCCACCAAACATAGTTTCTCGCTAGGGCTTTCATTCTAACAATGCCTATATGGCCTAAGTGCAATTCTTTAAGAATTTTATTTCTGAATTTTTCTGGAATTACAACTCTATCTTTCCTTAACAGAATTCCGTTATTTAACGCGAATTCGTGGTTTTGCAACCCAAATTTTTTAAACATTTGCCTTGTTCCAGAGCTTCAACTATTTTTAAGAGATTCTCATCTTTACGCGTTTCTGTTTGAATTTCACTTGCTTTAACAGGTTGCATATTTAATGTATCAACAGTATACACGTCTAGCACATCATACTTTGCCCTATTATTTTCTTTTATTGGTAGTCGCGAAAATCCGTCAGCGTTGCCATGATTTTCAGTTTTTCTAAATTTTATATCAAAATCAAAACCTGGAGGAAAACCGCGTAGTGCTGCATCCGCATTGCACTGTACGCCGGTAAGCCTTTTCCAGAATTCAAAATTTGCGTTAACGGTTTATTATCCGTGAGTAAAATGAAATGTTTACCGTATAGAAAATTATGAAATTTTTTTACTCCGAAAATAATGGCATACGCCTCTTTATCGATCTGTGTATATTTTCTTTGCGTATCATTTAACGTGCTCGAAGCGTATTCTATTACTTTCTCTCTGTTCCGTTTAGATAAACATGCGATAATACGGCTCCGACTCCATATGGACTAGCATCCGTAGCTAAAACGATTGGCAGATTTGGATTGAACGACACTAGAATTTTATCATTACAGAAAGCTTGTTTTGTGCTATTAAACGCCCTTTCACAAGCTGAAGTCCATTTAAAATGCGAATTCTTTTTCAACAAGTCATTTAATGGTTTCAACATGTCACTCATATTTTCTATAAATCGTCCGTAATAATTTATTAAACCAATGAACGCTCGGACTTCGGATACGTTCTTGGGTCTTGGCAGCTTTTCTACTGCTTCCATTTTCTTTTTCTCCTTTTTTATACCATCTTTTCCGATGATGTGCCCGCAGTACGAAATTTGATTTTTCAAAAATGTACATTTTTCTAAATTTATTCTTATGTTATATTCTGATAAACGACTCAAGACTAATTCTAAAATCTCAAAATGTTTTTCGACGTTTACACTTGCGATCTTAATATCGTCCAGAAAAACAGTAATATCTGGAATATTTTTCAAAATATTTTCGATCGTTCTCTGCCATATCGCCGATGCCGATGCTACTCCATACATAAGTCAATTACATTGGTATAGACCCTTGGAAGTATTAATTGTAAGAATTTTTTTATCTTCATTTCTTAACTCTAATTGCAAATAGGCTTGTTTTAAAGCCCCTGTAGAGCTGGCCCCCCTACTTCGCATAAATAAAAAAACAAATAGTGGAAAATTATGAGCTATTTATGAGCTTTAACAATCCACAAATTAAAAATTTTGAGCTCGCTGCATTGAGCAGGAATTTAATATTTTTTATGGGGGGGCTGAATCAATGTCGACTCAGCCTCCCCCATAAAAAATATTAAATTTCTGCTCAATGCGGCGAGCTCAAAATTTTTAATTTGTGGATTGTTAAAGCTTATAAATAGCTCATAATTTTCCACTATTTTTCTTTTATTTATGCGAAGTGGGGGGGGGGGCAGCTCTACAGGGGCTGTTTTAAATCTATTTTTGAAAACACCTTACAGCCAGCCATTTTAGCAAAAAGTTCCTCATGAGTGGGTAATGTATGCTCATCAACGATTAAACATGAATTTACCGTGACGCTGAAATCGCCACATATTCTCACCCCGCCGTCTTTCTTTAAAACTGGGACAATCGGGGTTGCCCAGGTGGATGCTTCTACTGGTTTCAAAATTCCCGCTTCTACCATTCTATTTAATTCATTTTCTACTTTATTTTTAATTTGGAAAGGCACTTGTCTACTACGCAAAAACACAGGTTGTGAGTTTGGTTTTAAGTTTAATTGAGCTTTGATTTTTTTAATTGGTTCAAAATTCTCACTCGTTACATTAGCATATTTTTCTAGCAGATTTTTCAAACGATCATTACACGATTGTTCTACTAAATGTAATGATTGCACCTCTTCTAGGCTCTCTTTAAATTTATTAAATGATGTTAATTGATTTATCCATTCCCGACCCAAAAGTGGCTGTCTATTATATTCGATTACATACATATTCAAATACTTCCAAGTATCTACATCTTTTACTTTAACTTTAACAAATCCCATAGGAACGAAATTCTTTTTACAATATGATCTTAATTTCAACTCAGTTTTCAAAATTTTTGCTTTGGGGAAATTTAATTTCAGCCAGGGCTGACTCACCAGCGTTACCGCCGCTCTTGAATCTACGTCGAAATCTATTTTTTTATCTTCTATTTGGAGAGAGACCGAATACTTCGACCGATGACTCACATGTTCGTGCTCTTTGTCTATTGTGGCGATATCTACACAGTCTGTTTGGCCTTTCTTCTTGCATACTTTTTTCAAGTGGCCGTAACCGCCGCATTCCAAACATTTCGTATTCCGAGGAAGAGAGCAGGAAGGCGCTAAATGGTTTCCACCACACCTAAAACATATAATTTTATTATTATTTTTGAACCCGTTTTTAAAATGTTTTACAATTTCTGCATTATGTGCTGTCTTCTTTGACTCCGCTTTCCCGAACGGCTGCTTCCTGCGATCCTTTTCTTTTGACTTCTTCTTGTTTTTACTTCCAGCTCCGACGAAGTCGACTGCCACTGCCGATTCGTCCTTCAGCTTGTTTACCCCTTGATCAGCCATCTCCATTGCGCAGGCGATTTTGAGAGCTCGCTCCTTTGTTAGATCGATCGTTTCCAAAAGTCTGGCTTGGATCCGTGGGTTTTTGATTCCAAAGACGAATTGATTTCGTAATTCCGTGTTTAAATAATTGTCGAATTTGCAATATAACGACAATTTTTGAAGTGCCGCTATGTATTCCTGCGCGGCTTCTCCTTCTTTTTGCATTCTTTTGCGAAATGTATAGATTTCCGCAATTTCCAGTGGCTCTGGCGCATAATATTCTCCCAGCTTATTACACAATTCCTCGAAAGATTTGGCATACGGATCATCTGGATCAAGCCGATCACACAGTACTCTGAAAGCCTCAACTCCAATATAGTGAAGCAAATACACAACTTTTTCTTCACCGTTCGTTATTTTGAAAACCTTGAAGGAACCTTCGAGTCGTTGTAACCAACGTTTTCATGTTTGGGTCGCCGGATCAAATTTTTCAATTTGAATCGCATTATGTGCATTTGCGATATTCGCAGGTTCAGCTCCTGCATTTGCCAGATTTCTTGGACCACCAGAACCACTTGTAGACATTATATTTAACGTCCTTTTCTATTGTCTTAAGAAAAAAAAATCGATGCCGACCGATCGTTTCGCACGCACGTTTCCACGTTCTACTGTATTTTACCGACTCACTCCCTCACTGGTATCCCATCCTCGTCGCCAGTTTTGTTATGTTCGTTAATAGTTTTAAACCAGCAGGGGATTCAATAATTACGCCGGTATTGTTATCTAATACTAACGTGGCTATATTTCAAAGATCTAAGTCTACGCACACATGCTTCCTGATTCAAGCCGATAAACGGAATGCTCCGATCAACACACGCCCGCAAGTTACTTGCTTGAGCGCCCCATATCGCAACCTAAACATGGCGCTCTTATACTTGGCGCGTCTTATGAATCCGAATACATAACAATTTATATATGAGCATATTTCATATAAATTTACATATAGTGTCTTATACATATTTATATATGAACTATTTTTTTCCAGGCTTTTAGAATGTCATACAATATTTTCATATAAAAATTAAAGTAGGACACCCTGTATATAAATGTGTTTAATGTAAAAATATTAGTAAAAATATTTGCAAAAATGTACAAACGAAAATATATATTGATTGCAGTAATATTAATATACTTATCATGATTATATTTCTATATATAATTTTATATTGTTATATATAATTATACTTAAAAAAATTGTGCCGGAAATTAAATACGTATATATGCATATTTTTTATATATGTTGTAATTGTATTATATATATATATATATTAGTAATATATTTTTCAGAACTCAGATTTATTTGTCAACATATCTGTCTTTCTTCTCAGTGTTTAATATACTCGTATACAAATCGAACACACATAAACATTTTATAAAATTTATATTTATATTTTATTTTATTATTGTACAAAATAAAGTCAAATTTATTTTGTTATTATAGGCACATATAAATAAAACTACAAAAATAAGTAAGTAAAACAATAATGATATAACGCTGAATTTAAATTACCGCGACAAGATAGCGATATCTGCCATCAATTTCTCATTGGCTATTAAAAATATATGCGCATAAGCACATCTTGTATTTTTCTACCATGCATCAAATATGTGTATACTTGTATAACAATTGAAAGTCATACGCACATATGCGTAGTGCGACATTGTACCATACGTGTCGCTTAAAATGCGATCAAGATCGAAAAGTTAAGTAGAAAACAATATGACGGCGTTTAATAAAAAAACCGAGAAATCGTTCGGCACTCACAGATAAACCTCGGGAAAACGTCAGACTCCGACTTTTTTCAAATTTTTTACAATTGTTTCTGATGTCAACATGAGGAAATCTGTCGTTGTTTTTAGCTCAAACTGATTTTTTATTTTTTTTTTTAATTTTCAATTTTGTGTAAAAATACGATTGTTTACGTGTGTTTAAACAAGTTCTTATTTTTTACAAATAAATCTACCCGCTTTTGATGAAACTCGACACACAAATAGAACATTAAATAATAGTTTATTAATTTCTTTTTAGCGCATTTAGCTTTGAGCTGTTTTTAAGTATTTTCTAAACAATTTTTTAAAAATATTTTTATATTTTTTTGTATCTTTTTTGTTTTATATACTTTTTCTTTTTTTCTTACAATTATATAACTAATTTTTTAAAACCTAATAATTGGAACAAATATAATAATATTATTCAATATAGTATAATATTAAGAATATTAAATCGGCTCTTTGAAATAAATACATAATATACACCTCCATCCTCGGCCAACAGAGCCAAACGCGATGTTATTGTGAAAATTAAAAAACTTAGGAATTCGTATCTTATGGTTAAGATCCCCAGTTGAGGTCGGGAAACGATTCAGCCGATTTTTGGACCAATATTTTTCTCGCCTATTTTCTTTACAGGAGAGTTAAAAGAGGAACAAGGGGAATTTTGGGATCTCAACCATAAGATACGAATTCCTAAGTTTCTTAATTTTCGCAATAACATCGCGTTTGGCTCTGTTGGCCGAAGATGGAGGTGTATATTATGTAATTATTCAATATAATTTTCACAAATGTGAACAGATTCAATAATACTGAGTTACACACAAATAAACTTTATTAAATGAAACTACATTTATTAAATGAAACATTTTCACAATTTTGTTTAAAATTTGAGAAACATACGTGTAAAATTTATAATTGTGAGGATGTTTTATTTAATAGATGTAATTTCTGTAAACTTTATTTGTGTGCAAATCATAATATTATTGAATCTGTTCACATTTGTAAAAATTATATTGACTAATATTATTATATTCGTTGCAATTATTAGATTTTAAAAAATTATTTATATAATTGTAAGGAAAAAAAAGAAAAAAGTATATAAAACAAAAAAGATAAAAAAAAATATAAAAATATTGTTAAAATTATTGTTTAGAAAATACTTAAAAACAGCTCAAAGCTAACTGCGCTAAAAAGAAATTAATAAACTATTATTTAATATTCTATTTGTATGTCAAGTTTCATCAAAATCGGATAGATTTATTTGTAAAAAGTAAGAACTTGTTTAAACACGTAAAAAATTGTATATTTGCGCAAAATTGAAAATTTTAAAAAAATAAAAAAATAAAAAAATCAATTTGAGCTAAAAACGACAGATTTCTTTATACTTTGACATCAGAAACAACTGTAAAAAATTTGAAAAAATTGGAGTCTAACATTCCCCGAGGTTTACTTGTCAGATAAATATTAGCGCGCCTTTTCGCCTTAATATTATCAAATTCATTTTTGTCATTAATAATTGTAAAAAAATTATTTGACTTTTACAATTATCTATCTTTACTTCTATAAACACACATTTCATTTGTACAGTTGAATTTATAACAGAAAAGCATTAAAAATGCAAAAATTCAAAAACTTACACAATTCTGCATACATATATACACAATACACATATAAGACTTTAAAAAATCAAATACTTACGTACCTTTTCTTCAGCATGTGGGAACTACTTTATACATATTTTCAGTTCTCGGGTAAGGATTGTAATTTATGAGACTTTTTCTTTATAGAAAAAATATACCGTACTAAAACCCATACAAATTTCATACAAACGTAGACACCGCTTCAAGTTAAGGGGATGAGCGGAGTGTGTTTTTGTTATTTGATACGCTGACCGTCCCTACCTATATATATATAAATAGTGAGAGCCAGGCAACATCAAAGAATTCTTTAACGGCTAACAAAATTCCAACTTATATACATTATATTGCATGAAATTAAATATTTAGACTAGATAAATAACATGATACTTTATATTTATGATTATATCTTAATGAAATAAATAGATATCCAAATTTTTAATAATACTGCATTTTCAATATTGCAATACGATGCGAATTGTATTCTTAAGGTTAATAATTAAAATTTTGGTCATTTTTGTTTGTAAGAATATTCCGTTGTTCTATTAAATGTTTTAGTCTTTGGTTTATTGTGTCAAAAATCAATTTCAGAGGATAGTTATTTTCGAGTAATATTTTGATTACTAACTCTAAATTTTCTTTGTGAAATTCTGGATTTGATAATAAGAAGGCTTGATCCACCAACCCCATTATCGTACCTCGTTTTCGATAGAAATAATGGACCGGTTTAATGTTGAGGTCATATGTACAATAAATACTTAGCGCTGTTTTTGTATTGTTATTTTAACACATTATTGAATAAAATAAAATAAATCAAAGTGTAAACTAATTCTTTTACTGCGGTACGCTCTAACAGAAATTCATAAACATTACATGGCTCGATATTCGAATGACGCTGTAGCTAACTGAACGTATCGATATACATGTATGAAATATATGCATATAATGTAACATGTAATAATTGCCATATTAAACAAATTCAACAATTAGGCAACATTGGATTTGTCGCTGAATAATAACGCTTATTTATTAAATCTGTAATATAATAATTAAACATGTTTGATTACTATATTGAGCTGTTGAGTCCCCTCGAATTCGATTGTGTATCACAAAACTAAGTAAAAGTAATAGAAATAAATAAATTTACTAGATTTAAACAAGTAAAATATTTTTTTTAGTAATTATACTGAATGTTAGATCGAATAATAACATTTGATGGATATCTAATGAAGCGAGGGAAAACCAGGGACAGGCAGACAACAAAAACATTTTTAACGAGAGGAAATATTTAACTGATTTTAATGTTTTTGAAGTGTTTTTATAAAACTCATTTTTCATTTTTTTTTAATATATTATCGTAGGTCGGATGAACCTACTTCGTAAGCTGAATTCAACTTGTGTTGATTGTAGGTATATCAAATATGCATAATACTCGGTATCAACACATATGTACATATTTTACATTCGTCGATATATCTCTCGCGTATCACGATTTTCTCGCGTGTATAATTATACTTACTTTATCGAGCCATGCGCCGACACCATTCTAAAGGTGCCTTTTCATACGCAGCATGCTGCAGCAGTAAATCAGTCACGTGATCAAAATTTATTAGAGCATATTTCTTTGTTCTCTTATTATTTCGACGTTTAAAATACGATTTTTGCTTTTATATTCTCACAATAATCTATTTTATTCTTAAAATCCATTATTTAACTAATATAAGAATAACAATAATTAGAATCAACTAGTTGCGTGTTCTTTTGCTTTGCTGCGTTTGCTGTTCGTTCAATTGAACTTCACCAATAGCAACAAACTGCTGCGGCAGTATGCTGCACATGAAATGATACCTTAAGAGTCGGACGACCACATTTGTAGTCGGCCGGATTTCCGCATGCCGTAAATAGGCAGCGACCCTGAATATACACCATGTACACCTACGATCGGCCCGGCTAGAAGGTCAAAAAGGATGAGCGGCTAAAACCACCCGCCGCTGTAAATTCACTCGGGGTCTGTTAAACGAAGCAAATTTCAAGGTATCTTCTCATACACCTGTGTGGGTCCTCGAGAGGCCACT